TTAGAGGGTCTGGTTTAGTGTGAGGGGCTAGAAGCGGACATTTTTGGGTCAGTCGTGGGGCCTGAACTCTGGGCCTGGGCGCTGTCCCTCAGCTCTTCAGCTCAAGGCTAGCGCTCTACCACTTGAGCCACAGCGCCACTTCTGGCTTTTTTCTTTTTGCTTATGTGGTTCTGAGGAATCGAACCCAGGGCCTCAGCATGCAAGGCAAGCGCTCTACCACTGAACCACCTTCCCAGGCCCCAAACTTGCTTTTAGATAGAAGGTTCCAGTAGTTTCAGAACCTCCTGTGTGACTTTCCCTGTGTTCAGAACTTGAAACTCCCCCAGCTCCAGGGGTTCCTTTCCTGAGAGGTAACAGTACTTCTAACATTGCTAAATTAGGAACAAACGTGTATTGCCGGGTGCTCAAAAGTGGATGGACGTTAGTATTAAGGAAGAAAGAAGCAGGCGGGAGGCCTGGGTGGAGTTCAGTGGAGCTCTTGCTAAGCAGGCACAAGGCTGTGGGTTCGATCCTCAGCAAGTAAAAACTGAGGAATCAAGCAAGCACAACAAAGGATACTTGGAGCTGTCAGCACCAGAGGTGTGGGGAAGAAGGGAAGGTAGGAATTGACCTGGGGACTTTTGTCTCCTGGGTAGAGGTGGGCAAAGGCATTTGCATGTCATGTTCACCTTTGTTTTGTTTGGCTTAGTTATTTTGAGAGTGTTATGTTGTTGTCTTCAACCCCCAAGCCTAGGAAGTCCTCCTGGCTCAGCCTTAGGAGTAGCTAAGGCCATACTGATCTTATTTTGCATTTTGCTCAGTTGTGGGCCTGGCCACTATCCCTGAGCTCTTCAGCCCAAGGCTACCACTCTACCACTTGAGCGAAAGTGCCACTTCGCTTATGTGGTGTTGAGGAATTGAACCCAGGGCCTCATGAATGCAAGGCAAGCACCCTACCACTGAGCCACATTCCCAGCCTCTTATTTTGCACTTTTTTTTTTTTTTGGTCTGGTCGTGGGACCTGAACTCTGGGCCTGGGGCGCTGTCCCTTAGCTCTTCAGCTCAAGGCTAGTGCTCTACCACTTGAGCCACAGCGCCACTTCCGGCTTTTTTCTTTTTGCTTGTGTGGTGCTGAGGAATCGAACCCAGGGCCTCAGGCATGCAAGGCAAGCACTTTACCACTGAGCCACCTTCCCAGACCTTATTTTGCACTTTTGAACAACTTTTGCTCCAAAGAAGAGATCCTCAAAGGGCACCTAATAAGACAAGTCTTTGTGCTTGCTTGCAAAGAATAGGAAAAGCCCATTTCCTTTGAGGCTGTTAGGGAATGTTCATCTCTCTGTCTCTGTCTCTGTCTGTCTCTGTCTGCCTCTCTCTTTCTCTCTTTCTCTCTCTCTCTCTCTCTCTCTCTCTCTCTCTCTCTCTCTCACACACACACACACACACACACACACTTCTTTTTCTCTTTGTGACCTCTTACCCCTTAAGCCTTTGAAGAAGGAACTAAAACCCAGACAAAGATGGCTTACCTTCTGGAGGTAGAGACCAGATAAAGGTAATAATCCCTTTGTCCAATATTCCCTGTCTAAAGAAGCAATAGCAGTCAGGTGCTAGTGACTCATGCCTATAATCCTAGCTACTCAGGAGGCTGAAATCAGGATTGCGGCTCAAAGCCAACCTTGGCGGAAAGTAAGACTGAATGTGACGGACCAGCTCGGCCAGAGCACTGGGACCAACGGGACAGGGATCTCCGGATAGGTGGGCAAGGAGTCGGTGAAGTGACATACAGACATAGACTCAAAAGAGTTGCATCTGAAAACCCAGGCGCTGGTGGCTCACGCCTGTAATCCTAGCTACTCAGGAGGCTGAGATCTGAGGATCATAGTTCAAAGCCAGCCCGGGCAGGAGAGACCGTGAGACTCCTATCTCCAATAAACCACCAGAAAACCGGAAGTGGCGCTGTAGCTCAAGTGGTAGAGCGCTCGCCTTGAGCTGAAGAGCTGAGGGACAGCACCCAGGCCCAGAGTTCAAGCCCCACGACCAACAACAACAAAAAAAAGTTGCATCTGAGTGTATCTTTATTGAGAATTAACATTTTTATACAGTGTGTGATTGTGACATAGATTCTTTGTTTAGTTAAGCACATAATCAATTTTATGAAAAGTAAAGCATTAATGGGTTACATGAAAATTGATGACTATCCCACCAACTGTTTGAGCTAAGTGGTGTGAAACAAGTCTAGTATATTGTTTAATACAATGCATCATCTATTCAGCCTTTTTATGTTTAATAATTAACAAACCTAAGACAGGGCTGTACTTATACTTTTTTTTTCCATATTTTCAAGTCCCTTTGAAACCATCCTAAAAACCACTTCCAGGTTGAGTCAGGCATTCTCTGTTTCCTATGATTTTAATCCCAATATTTGTTCACAAAAAGTTCTAATTGTGGGGCTGGGAAGTTGGCTCAGTGGTAGAGCGCTTGCCTTGCATGCCTGAGGCCCTGGGTTCAATTCCTCAGCACCACATAAGCGAAAAGAAAAAAGTGGTGCTGTGGCTCAAGTGGTAGAGCGCTAGCCTTGAGCTGAAGAGCTGAGGGACAGTGCCCAGGCCCAGAGTTCAGGCCCCACGACCGGACTCAAAAAAATTTTTTTCTAATTATTATTTTAAACTATCTTATTGTTGTTTTGATAATAAATACCATAATGGTCTAAATATACCTAATCTTTGCATAAAATCTAATGAGTACCAAGATACTCTTTTTCCTTTTACATTAATCCATCTATTTTTATCTTTATAAACTCCTGTATAAGGCCATTGCCTCATCAGTTGGCTCAGGAAATGTGATGTCACTAACTTTATATTTTGTGGGAAACAACCATCTATTCCCTATAACGTAAGCTAGACCAAACTTAGTCATAACTGTTGGGGGAATCTTTCTTTTCCTTTTATTATCAGGGGTCCCTTTTTCTATAACTCTTTGTGCTTCTGGGATAACTCCTTCTGGTTTAGTTTAATTCATTAATTCTGCCTGTTGTAACATATCTGGAAATTTTAAATTTCTACATTTACTATAAATGAGCCACAAAACTACTTGTGAAGTTGCAGGAGCTTCTGGAAGCAGCGTCATATCAGGTGATATAGTGATTGGGGCATTGTCCACATCTAATCTTTGGTCCTAGTCTTTATTATTCAGAGAAGCCGTCTCTATTGGACTGGAAAGAAACAACATGCTCTGTTCGCGGACCAATAGCAAAATAGACAAAACAAGAATAAAGGCAACGAATGTACAGCCAAGAATAATATAATAAGAATAAGGGTAGAGGCAATAAAGGTGCAGCCAAGTGTATAGGAAGCCTTGAACCAACACCCCCTTTCTGCAGGCATGCTTCCTTGAAGCTTACGCTTTGCCTGGTGCCATCTCTCACACAGACTCTGCAGGATGGGGTGTGGCATTTCTTCCCTTTTTATTTTTTATTTTATTTTTTGGTCCAGTCGTGGGGCCTGAACTCTGGGCCTGGGCTCTGTCCCTCAGCTCTTCAGCTCAAGGCTAGCGCTCTACCACTTGAGCCACAGCACCACTTCTGGCTTTTTTTTTCTTTTTTGCTTATGTGGTGCTGAGGAATTGAACCCAGGGCCTCTGGCATGCAAGGCAAGTGCTCTACCACTGAGCCACCTTCCCAGCCCCCCCTTTTTATTTTTTAATTGGAGCTCATGAATGTCTCGGTGCACAGAAGAGACAGATCTAAAGATCAGTCGGAAAATGACTGGAAATATAAGAATTAGAAGAATTGATCCGACAATGGCAATTATAATTATTACATGAATCCAATCTAGAGGATTGAGGGCCTCCAAGTTATGCTTAAGTGACTCTGCCAAAGATAGAACATTTTTTGCATCTAAATGAGCTTTACTGTTGTAATTTCGTCCTGTAAAGCCTCCATCAAAATGGGGCGCCACCTGCGATGGACCACCTATCCTGAGATCCCAGTCCCGTCGGTCCCAGTGCTCCAACCGAGCTGGTCCATCGTAACTCAACTCTTAAAGCGTTAACTTTGTGGCTCACAGGGTAGAAGCTCAGGGATAGCACTCAGGCCTAGTGTTCAAGCACATTCACAAAAGCAATAGTCACTCCTCATCCTGCTGTATTTGGCAATACTGAAGTTAGAGGTCAGTGCTTGGTAGGCAAATGCTTTACTGTTTAAGCCACATCTCCAGCCCTTGCTTTGCTATGTTTTTATTCAAACCATTACCAGCAGCATTTCACATATGCATGTATGGGGCTGCCTCATTCTAGTGGTTCATCAGGCATCCTCCCCTGGCACAAGGCTTCCAGGACTCTCTTTTATGAGTGCGGGAACTGAAGCACAGAGAATGATAAATGCTTTGCCTGGCTGGCAGAATGGACAGCATTCCGCTGCCTCTTCCAGCTTTCCAAACAGACAGTAATTCACAGATAGAGTGCAGCTTGGAACAAAGTTTATTTTCTAACTCTGAAACCTTAAGGAACAAGGAACTTCAGACATTAAAAGGAGGAGGAGGAAAACATGGGGTTAGAGGAAAAAAAACTGTCCTTGCTCTTGACAGCTAAGCAGCTACTATGGAGGCTGCTGGGCCAGGAGGGAGGAGGAGGGTGTGGGAAGGCCAACCTGCTTGGTGTCTGAGCCTTGTGAGCCTCCTCCACAGGTAGGAAGGGCAAGCCTGGCTGTCTGCCTGTAGGACTTTCCCATTGTGGAGGTGTCTTGGTTTGGCTTCTAATGGAAATGTCCCTTGTGGTTGGGAGAGGCGCTCATGGGGTCTCTGTTGGTTAGCTCTAGTGGGGTTTGGACAGTAGGAGTCTGTGGTTACTTGTGTTTGCCAGCTATGTGATGCTGTTGCTGGTGGAGGTTGGGCAGGGCCCATCTTTTGCTTGTCTGGGGGCTTGATAAAACCTTGCCTACCTCAATGGCCCAGCCCAACACTGGTTAGACGCACCCCGCCATGCCTGGGGGTGGGGGGAGGGCGGACCTTGTGGTGATCCCATCTTCCTGAGGAGGTGGCAGGGGATTGAAGCTGCCATGGGTCAGAATGGGGAAGATAGTTACAGAGGACTTTGTAAAATGGAGACAGGGATGGGGATGGGTAAGGCTTGCAAAGTAATGAGGTGCAGGAAGGCCAGGCGTCCCCTATGGGGGCCGGGCCGTGGTAGGGAACCAGTTGGCCCCAACCTATTTGGTTTATTTTGTTCTTGCTGGCTTTCGTGAAGGGTGGGCATCACTCCACTCTTCATAGTTTCATGTGTTAGGATGCCCAGCATTCGGTTTAGATTTGACAGTCAGTGCCACCTTTAGTTTGGAAGGACTCTGCGTGCCTTGGGTAGAGAGAAAAAACAACAACAACAAAAGAGAATTTCAGTCAGTACCCAGTTTTCTTTTGGTGATACTAGGATTTGAACTTGGGGCCTTGGACTTGCTAGGCTGGCATGGTACTGGTGAGCTAGGCCTCCATCCCTGTTTGGTTTGGTTTTTCCCCTAGCCCTGTTTCTTACTGGTTATTTTAGGTATGGGGTCTGGGTTCCTGACTAGGTGCACCCTACTTTAGTCTTCCAGTGTCACTGGGATTGCAGGAGGATGACAGGGCCTATGTGGGTGGAAAGTCAGAACATGGGACCAGTTTCTTGGATCCATTACCTGAGGCGCCTACAGTTGGCCTAGATCCAGCACCTCACTGCTCTCCAAGGCCATGGGATGTCGGGCCTGGAGTCGGGCCTGGGCACTCAGCTCTTCAGCCTGGGGCTCTGTGTGTTCCTCCTTCTCCGTGCCTGTTCCAGCTATTTCTTCAGGAGCCTGAGTCTCCTGGCTGCCTGAGCCCTCATTGATAAGGAGTTCAGGTGGAGCTACACCCTTCCGAAAGGCCTTCAGCTGCTGGAGAAGCCGGCTCTTTGCCGTACAGTCCCTGCAACATAATAAAACCAGCTGAACTTGGTGCCAACTGGAGGCCTGACCTCCTAACACTTCATCACTGGAATGGCCTGGGTGTGGGCTCAGTCACCTGACTCCAGAACTGAAGTCAAGTGGGCAGGACTCAGGTTGCCCCTGAGGACCAGACCTGGAGTCTGGCAGTTTAGAGGATCTTCTCTGGCAGGCACACTGACTTGGCAGAGCCAGGCCAAGAGGGAAGAGACCTTTGTGGCCAGATGCAGACAGAATAGCTAGCGAGTGCCTGGGGTGTGTCCTTGCTCTGAGGATGGGCTGTGGGGTTCTGCCATCTCCGTGGGTATTATGTGGGGGCCTGTTCCACACTTCCTGATCCCAGCTGCTTCCTGACACCACTGCCCCCTACTCCCCCCCACCCTTCAGTGCCTGGCCTATGCTCCCAGCCTAGGCCCTGCTGCTGCAGAGTCTTATTTGCTTTGTGGCCACAGAGGGACCTGGAAGGCCATACTTCACTTCCCTCCAGCCCACCCAAGCTTGTGTTTCCTGCAGATACCGCTTTCCTCCAGCCCAGTCTTTTCTCTAAATTCCCATCATGGAGGGAGCCAGAGGAAAATGGAAGAGGCATCCTGGGGAGGGAGCTGGCATGTCCTAGGTAACGTCCAAGGGTCCGTGGGCTAGGCCAGGAGTGCTACACCCCACCTCAGTCTCAGACCTAGGCTGTGTCCAACACACCAGGGTCAGAGTCCAAGCCCCCAGGAAAGGGGACACCTCGTGGTTACCATGGGCCCTGGGAGGAAGTAGGTGCCTGCTGCGCCTGGTCTCGCTGCTCTCCCATAGCTGTAGTCTCCTCTTCCTCTTCACTGTCAGAGGAGCTGTACTGGGAACTGGGGGAAGAGGACATGGCTTCTTTGGATTGGCCCCATGCCGTCTGCCAGGCTCCACTGCCACGCAGGGTCAACCTCTCTTGCAGTGCTTAGCTCCTCCTTAGGCGGGGGGCAGCAGTCAGCTGAAGCTTAAAGGCTGCCAGACTAACTGCCAAATGACAGGAGAGTACCCAGGCACCGCCGCAGCCTTATGCAGTTTGCCTTTTGCTCCACTCCTCCTCTTAGTCTCCTCTTTCCCCCACCTCCCATGGGATATGGGTCTGGGAGTCGGGCTTGGGGACCAAGTGGGCTGAGCATGTCCCATGCTTGACCCTTGCCCTGTTCCACCAGGTACCTCCAGAAGCCTCTAAGGCCAGCAGGCGACTCTGCCAAGCAGACATGGCTGCAGGGCTGGCCCTGCTCTCTACCTTTCTGAGGACTCCTGGCTTTCTGGATCCCATGGCTTTGTCGGCCTCAGGTCCATGAAGATGGTGGGAGGCTCTGTGTTCAGCGTGCTGCCCTCATCTAGCCTCTGGCATGGCTCCGCCTGGAGGCCCAGCCTCATCACAGCATTCCTGAAAGACAGAGCATGCTGAGTCCCTTCTTTGTGAGTACTGTGACCAGTGGGGCTTGTCCACCATTTGTGAACCTATCTCTGTGTGGAGATGAAAATGAAAAATCCCAGGGAAAAGCTCTGATTGGCCTGCCTCGGGGTCACATGCCCAGGGCTGAACCTATCAGCCTTGCCAGTGGGGCAGGGTCCTATGAAAACCCTCCCACTTTGAGCAGACTGTGTAGATGGTGAAGGGAATTTCCCATAGGGCTTGGGGAAAGAGTAGGGGCTTTGTGCTCAGAGCCACACCTTCCCCTTCTGTGCAGTGGGGATATTTGCAGTGCCAGCCCTGATCAGACTTGAGCACAAGGGAGGATGTGCCCATCTGGCCACGGCTGGCAAGAAGGCCCACCTGCTTCTGGTTTCCTCTTCCTCAGTGTCTTGGGGCATGTCAGCTGGCACCTTCCGGGCAGCAGTGCAGGTCTTGGACTGTGTGGCACACAAAAGGGCCAGCTGCTCTTGGAGTCTGTCCTGGGAGCGTGGCACAGAGTTATCTGGGGATTGAGGGAGAAAGGGGACAGGTTAGTGGGGACCTGGCCCTTTTGACTCAGGTCTCTCACCCACAGTGGCTCAAGTCCTAGGACCCTTTGGTTTTTTTTTTTTTTTTGCCAGTCCTAGGGCTTGAACTCAGGGCCTGAGCAGTGTCCCTAATGCTTCTTTTTCTTTGGGGTTCCTTGTAGTCAGGGGCCCAAGGCTTGGCTCTGTCCCCGCCCTCAGTCCTTTCTGAGGCCTCCAGGCCCAACTTGGCAAAGAGTACTGTATTTATGAGCAGGCACAGACTCCTACTTGAGCTTTGTGAACTAGGGTCCCAGGCAGCCGCAATGCAAAGGGGTCATCCTGTTGACTCGCCCAACTATATTTTTACACTGTATCTTTCTATTACTAGAGGTTTCCTTCTAGTAATACTGCTGCAGACTGAGCTGCAGACACTGTTATAGCTGATTTAGACAGTCTATTGAGTATGGACTGTTTTCAGGTTTTTGTAATCTTTGTAACGTAGTGAGCATCCTGGAATGCACTTTTACCCACTAGGGTGAGTATGTATTGTTTAGGAGGTTTAGGGGAGGTTTGCAGAATGGAATAGCTTCATCAGAAGGTCCTGGGCCTTTCAAATAGTGCTGGGCACCAATGGCTCATGCCTTTAATCCTAGCTACTCAGGAGACTGAGACCTGGAGGATGGTTTCAGTATGAAGCCAGCTTGAGAGGCAAAGGCCATGAGACCATCTTCAGTTAACCAGCAAAAAGCCAGACAGGGCCATGGTTCCTGGTAGAGCACCAGTTCTGAGCAAGAACATGAGGCCCTTAGTTTAAGCCCTGGTATTAGAACATGCAAAAAAAAAAATGGCCCATTTTGTGCCCTCCTCCAGTTGCGTAGTCCCCTGTGGCTCCAGGAGGGTTTGTTTCTCCATATCCTACAAATGAAATCACATGAGGAGTCTGCTGTGGGCCTGGAGGCTGGGAGCTGGCACTGCTCTTGGGTCTCAGCTTCCAGCCTGCCTCCCTTGCTCTCATTGCTGGGGACCCAAGTGGATGGAGAGATGGTGAGGTACAAACTGCCTGAAGCAGGGCCACAGCATAGTGGCTGGGATGACATCAACCTTCCTTCCTATTCCAGGCAGCCAAGAAGCATGAGTAGCATAGGAGCTGACTGCAAGAGCAGGAGGCAGGACCAGTCAACATTCCCCCAGGGAGAAAGAGGATGGGAGAGGAAGGAGTCCTGAGGAGGTGAGGACGGGGAGGTGGTGTGGGTCACGTGGCAGGGGCCAGGGATGAAGGCCCTGTGTATTCCCAGGGCTTGGACAGGCCTGGCACATAGCAGGCAGCCACCTAAGCCTTGCTGGGGCTGAGCCAGCAGATGAGGTGGCTGCAAGGCTGATCGTGCCCAGCCTGCGGCCTCTGTCATGCCAGACACACAAGCAGCTGCTGGCTCCATTTGGCCTTGGTGCTTGAGACAGACCTCGGCCTTGGCAGCTTTCTGCTAACCACCATGCACTTCTGGATGCGCCATCTGTGGGGCTGTCTTCCTGGACTGGCAGACTCTTCAGGATGTAATCCAAATCCCAATCTTCCAGGTGCTGGAATAATGAGGCTGGGGTTACGAGGCTGCCACGGGGTCCTATAGGCAGGGGTAGGATTGCTGTGGGCAAGAGCGACACAGGCGGGGTGGCACTCCACTACTGTTGGGGCGGATGGAGCCGTCATGGGTGGTGTAGAGGAGGAATCAGGTTAAGTGCAGGCCTGCGAATGGATGCACTGGCCCTTGGGATTGAGTGTAGTCTGGGCCTTTTGTTTGCACCAGGACTAGCAATTCTCAACTCCTCTATTTTTTTTTGGGGGGGGAGGCAGCGAGGGGGAAGGAGGAGGGTAATGCTTAGTTATAAAGATGTCTGACCTGGAGGAAACCCTGTGCCATTTTAAAAGTGTCTAAGATATACTAGTTCAAAATGTTTGCTATTTTTAAAAAAAGTTTTGTGCTTTTAAGAAAAAATAGGGCTGGCAAAAACAAAACAAAAAGAAAAGACAGACATTTGTGGCAAAGGTTTCAACTAGAGGCAGGCAGTTATCCTAGAATGAATGTTTTTTCTCTTGGTGGTGCTGTGATTGGAATCCAGGACTTGCAAGGGCTCCACCTCATTCAAAATGAATGTTTCCTCTACCTGGTCTTCTTGCAGCTTCTAGATGAGGAAAACAAATGTTGTCAGGGATGAGCAGAAAGGAAAGGATGGCTTGTTTAAAAGTAATGAACAACAAAACACAAACTAGGCACTGGTGGACTGTACTCCCTGCTCCTCAGGAGGAGTTCAAGGCCAACTTAGGCAAAAAGATCTCCCAAGATTCCATATGCACAATAACCAGCAAAAGGCAGGCTGGGGGTATAAGTTCAAGTGTTAGATCACCAGCCAGGAGCAAGTAAGCTGAGCGAGAGCTTAAAGTCCTGGGTTCAAACATCAGTACTAACACCAAAAAAAAAAAAAGTAATGAGAAAGATTCGTAGGGCTGGGAAGGTGGCTCAGTGGTAGAGTGCTCGCCTGGCATGCATGAAGCCCTGGCTTCGATTCCTCAGTACCACATACACAGAAAAAGCAGGAAGTGGTACTGTGGCTCAAGTGGTAAAGTGCTAGCTTAGGGACAGTGTGCAGGCCCCGAGTTCAAGCTCTAGGACTGGAAAAAGAAAAAAGATTTGTAGGTAAATACTGGTGCCACTTTCCTGTAAGTTGTTAAGCAAAATGTTTGTGTGGCTTTTGCATGCCAGGCTGCAGTGACTTGCATGGTCCCTCTGCAGGGAACTGCACAGCCTACTAGGGCCAGAGCCCTCCTCTCCACCGGTAGAATGGGAGGTGGAAGCCGGGCGCTGGTGGCTCACGCCTGTAATCCTAGCTACTCAGGAGGCTGAGATCTGAGGATCGAAGTTCAAAGCCAGCCCGGGCAGGAGAGACCGTGAGACTCCTATCTCCAATAAACCACCAGAAAACCAGAAGTGGCGCTGTAGCTCAAGTGGTAGAGCACTCATCTTGAGCTGAAGAGCTGAGGGACAGCGCCCAGGCCCAGAGTTCAAGCCCCACGACCAAAAAAAAAAAAAAAGAATGGGAGGTGGATGGCAGTGGGCATGGTGACCCTGTGGACCCCGGATGTGCTGCGTGACACACCTATCTTCTCTCCCCACACCCTCTTCTTCCAGAGTGTTCTGCAGAATCTTCTCATCCTGCCAGACAAGTGTTGTTACCCACTTCCTTCCTTCATGAATGTTCCAGATCCAACCTGAACAGATGTGCTCCTGTTGGGTGTGGGCATTCCAGTGGGGTAATTTCACTTTGGCACTGTCTGCTTCTATATTTTACCCAGGACTACTTAGAAACCTGTGCTTGGCATGAGCACTCTGCTTTCCCTCCAGGGAAAGCTGGAGTCTCTTAGCCCCCAGGCCCCCACCTGCTGGGACAGGCATGGTTGCTTGCCCAGATGATGGTCCTTGGACCCTCAAGCTGGCCTCAGGACCAGCTGCTTCCAGGCCCCACTGGCTGGGGGTGGCAGACAGTGGAGGTGCCTACCTGGAGGGAGAGCACAAGCTGTCCTTCTTGGGGCTCTGCTGAGGAGGCCTGTGGCCTGGGTTCTGGCTCTTCGGCCTGGCCTTGATTAGGTGGGTCCCGAGTGCCCCAGGTCACTTTCTGGAGTACCTCCTTCTCTATCATCTTCCTCCTTTCCAGGCGGAGGGCTCTGCGCTTCGCAGAGTCTTTCCATGCATCCTCATCCCGGGGTTCTATCTTTGGCTTTCCTTCAGGAGAGAGGGTAGCTTCTCCCTGAGGGCCACAGGAAGAACTCTGGGATGCTTTGGAATTGAAGGAAAAGCTTCCAAGGTCACCTTCCAGCCACGAGGAGGTCTCAGCCATTCGAAGGAGGGTGCTGGTATCCGCGCAGCCTTGGGATGGCTGGCCAGGACCTCTTCCTTCCCGAAGGGCTGAGTCCCACATCCTCTGTCCACTCCTGGGTTCAGTGGAGGGTCCCCCAGGCACCAAAACTGGCTATTGAGAAAACAGACAAACTCTGTTAGCATTTGTAAGAATGTATTTTTAGGGACTTTCTTTGGTAGAATGTAAGAACATTTCCTCAGAAGAATTGCTAAAATTCCTGTAGAAATGAAAACCCAGAGTTACAGGGAAATTGTGCCACCTGAATTGTTGGCACAATTGGTCACTGCTTTGCAATTGCCTTCTGTGCTTCTTTGGCCTACCTTGGGCCATTTGGCCATGTGTGTGGTGGTGATGGGCCAGGAGATCAGGTCCAGCCGCACCCACCCACTCACCTGTAGTGAGGCTAGGTAGAGTTGAGCCATGGGAGGTCAATCTGGGGCCAGGAAACTCCTGAAGCCCTCCCTCCGCTAGACTTGAAGGTATGTCAGGCCTTTCTGATATTTTCAGATTGTTAACCACAGCCACATCAAATCCCCAACAGGTTTGACCAGTTGGGGCTGCCCATAGATGAATGTTTATAGCCGATTCTATTTATAAAAGCAGCAATTTCCAGGCACTGTCCTGGGAGGCTTGGGCCTGCACTGTGGCCATTCCTGCTGCCTCCTGCATCACCAGCATTTGTGGGGCACTCTTTCTCCCTCTGACTCTCCAGTCATCAAAGGCTTAGGGGGCTCTGTGAAGCCAGAGGAGTTTGGAAGCTGTGTCAATGGCTGGATAGTACAGAGTGCCTTGGTAGGAAACAGTACAAGTCTAAGGACCAATAGGGGGTGCATCAAGTATGCTGGGTGACCTGGAGAAGGCGGCATGAGTGCTCAGGTGTTGGGCACCTGAACACTTGGGATGGCCCTGGAGGCGTGAGGACTAAGGTGCTTCTAGCAGCAGTTTTAGCTGTTTGAACCCCACTGCCCTAATAATCCCTGAGAGTCATGGTCACACACACACACACACATACACACACACACACATGTACATGCATCATCTGCCCCCATGGTGCGTCTTAGCAAGTCCTCAAACCCTGTGTCCTTCGGACCTTAGATGGAGACCTTTTAACTGCAGGCCCCCAGGTCCTAGGCTCGCTGGCATCAGCAGGCTCTTCAGTGAGCTCCTCAGCCAGGTCTGGAATCAGAACGGGCTGGTTTCGCTGGAAGATGTAGGGCTCCTCTTCCCTGTCGTCAGACTGTGGACAGACCAGAGGTTTGGGGTGGTAAGGCAGCATGGGTGACCAGCTCTCCCACGGGGAGATCTCTCTAGAGGGATCTGGGTCTCTTCCTACTGGCCTTGCCTTGAGCTGCTGCCTGACACCTGTTTAGAAATGAGCTTGGCAGCACCCCCTTGTGGGGATGAGATCCAGGGCTCCCCCTCTAGCAGAGGTGCTGCAGTCCTGCCTGATGCAGAGTAATGGCAGGGCAGGGGTCACTGAGAGCAGCCTCCTACCATAACCTGGTTTGCCACATCTGAAGGACAGAGACTGATTACCCCCCCCCCCCAACTACCTTACAGGATTGATCAGAAGCCAGAAGATTGATCAGTGCTCCCAGCTCTGGGACTAAACTATCCACTCTTTGATTCCTGAGGTCGTGCTAGGAGTCTTGTCAAGTTCAGCTTTGCAGAGGTCCAGGTAGGACCCAAATTTTGCTTCTTCTTCTAACTTTCCCTAAATGCCCAGTGCCAGTCTGGGTACTGAAGCCCCTGCCTGTGGCTCATTAGCAGCATCCCTATCTAGTCTTACGTGCATATGGCTACTGGTGCTGATGCCAAACCAACGTTAGGGGGAGAAGCCCTCCAGGTGTTTATCACTGTGCATTGGGAAGGTCACAGTGGTGCTGTAAGTGGTGGTGCTGGTCCACTCTGCTGTGGCAGAGCCTTCACCAGAGAACCTACATGGGACTCAGGTGTGGGGGGGCGGCCAGGAGCACCAATGGAGTGGCCTTGAAGATTCCAGGCACCATTCGAGTACTTGAGTTTTGGATGGATGGAAGGAAGGAACGAACCAAGGAACCTTTGAATTGGGTGCATGGCTGAAAGTAAAACAAAGGCATGCTCCAGTGGTGGGCCGGTGGTCTGTGAGGAGGATCACTTTAAGGCTGGCCCTGGCCACCCTTGGACCTTTCATGGTATGAAAGGCCAGTCAGCGTCCAGGAGGAAGCTTGCTCACCAAAGACGAGTCTGAGTCCAGAGATGGAAGCTGATCTTTGGCAGCCTTGAGGATGGCATCCCAGGGGGAGCCCAGGGAGGGCACATCTTTGTCTTTGGCTTCCATGGAGACCAGGCTCACAGGATGCCATCTTTGTATGCCATCATCCGAGGAGCTCTGTGGAGAACACGTGGTCAAGGTGACCAACATCAAGAGATGAGGGCCTGCCTTTCTAAAACTCCAACCAGCTACAGGCAAAAAGACTTTACAGCCACCTCTCATCCATTCCTGTGGTTCTGTACTTCGTTACTAGGAACTCAGCTGTATGTGTGAGCAGACCTGCATATGTATATACATATATTTACATCATATATATGTGTATACATGAGATATGTTTAGGGATATATGTATATGAAGACATAGATAAGAGCCAGGAACTTGTAATCTTAACTACTTAGGAGGCTGAGATCTGAGGATGGCAGTTTAAGGCCAGGAAAGTCTTTCCTTCCCGTGAGACTCTATCTCCACTAAACTACCAAAAAAAGCCAGAAGTGGACCTGTGCTTCAAGTGATAGAGTGCTAGCCTTGAGCAAAAATATCTCAAGGGAGTTCAAGCCCCAGTACCAGCAAAATAAACCCACAAAAAAAACCCACAATGAGGGGCTGGGAAGGTGGCTCAGTGGTAGAGCGCTTACCTTGCATGCCTAAGGCCCTGGTTCAATTCCTCAGCACCACATAAGCAAGAAGAAAAAAGCCAGAAGTGGCGCTGTGGCTCAAGTGGTAGAGCGCTAGCCTTGAGCTGAAG